ATTCACTTTGATTTACATCTGCAATCCGGTCAATGTGCGGTGACGAATAACGGATGGATGAAGTTCAACTTCTATCCATATGTCTGCATAAGCGTTGGGGTCACGTGGTAAAAAATGAGCAATCAGGTGTTGTCACCAAAAGCTAATGGCGGCAGAAGTAGCGATGAACTCTGGATCAGGAAAAGAATGTTTTGCTAAAAAATATGTATTTCTGAATTTAAATTATAGTGAGAAATCTTCGAGAAAAAGACAGCAATCAACTGAATTTAGTTGAAAAAGAAAAGAAAAATAAGATAATTGAAACTACAGCACGAGTTCCCAGAGAGCAGTGATTACATTCAAGAAAATCAGGGGCAAAAAGTAGGATTCCAAGTCCATGAAACAGCAAAATTTGTCCTGATTTCTAGCTGGCTAATTATTTTCTAGCTGTGCATACACATTTACTTTCAATGAAAATAAACGTCTGACTGTATCAAACTGCTGTAGCAAATCAGATAAGGCATTAAACAATTTTTTTATTTCTCTGTTGATACCTTTTTTGCTAACATATATTTGTAAGCACATCTTTCACTCGGAATATATATTTAGCAGTACGTCTGACTTCAGTCAGAACGCCAGTTTAAAATTATATTTTTCTAAGAAATGGCCTAGAATATAAAGAACAAACTCTGGTAAATTTTTTAGAGGATAGCACACTGAAATAAGACGAGGAAATTTAGTTTTGTTAAAGTACATAAGCCAAAATTGCTAATCACATTTGTGTGATGATAGCTTAGTGGTAAAGCTGACGGCAGTTGAGTTTTTCCTTTGAGATCGTGAGTTCGAATCCCATACTCTTTTACCGCCCTGTTTGCTACTTTCTCTTAGCTCCGTGTTCCAATTTAATCTATATTTGTGTTTTATAATTTATTATTGTGTGCATTAAATATAATAATTTAATCATTTATGCTCTTATTTATTTAAATTTTCCTCGCAAGAATTTGTTGTAAAAGTTGTAATATAATACGAATTTAAAGCATACTCCCTATATATAATATATATATATATATATATATTCGTTTCACTTTTATGTGAATGTACATACCATGTGCTGAGACTTTGGGATGCTTCCAGCTCTGAACTTTCACTGCCAATTAAGAGGAGACAGCATTAATGCCCCTAAGCATTTTAATAAAACATTTAAAAATATATTATTATAATTGCTGTAAAATTCAGTCCTATCCAGCTGAAGCGCAGGAATTAATTAAGTAAATATTTCCATTTTTACGTTATGCGTGTATGTATATATATATATATATATATATATATATATATATATATATATATTTATATATATAAGCTTTTTTTTATAACTTCTTCTATAAAAAGAAATGGGAATTTAAAATTTATCAATTAAAAGTAATATTTTATGGATTATGAATAAAATATAACTGTACATAGTGCATTTTTAAAACAAACGAGATTTCTAATAAATTAGCCAGCTATGATACTGAAGAAATAGATGCTAAAATTTTATGTATTAGCTGTTTTCTCTCCAAATTTAAGTATATTTTAAAAATATACAATCTCGTATGGCAGTCAGCAAGTGGTATACAAGCATAGCAAATTTTGTGAACCTTTCTTTACAGTTTCTGTGTATTTTTAAAATACCAACTATTCTAAATGCATTTAAAACTTTTTTATTTGTTTTGCAGTAACAGTACATTTTAGTTTCAATTATATATTATTTCTTTAATATTTAAGGATTCTAGAAACGTAAATTTTTTTTTTTAATTACTCCAGCTTCTGTGCAATTAGTGATGTTCATAATATACATTATAACTGTACTTATCTAAAAATTACTAGCCTACTTTACTTTCACAGTTCATAAGCAGAAATAAAAAATTTCCAATAGCATGGAATTTAGTTATCTTAAGAGTCCGAATCTCGCAAGTTAAATACAGAGACATGTGGTGGCAATAAATGCAATCGTCCACCGAACTTTCGTACACGTAAATCCAACGTAATAGTGTAAATGGTCTTCTGTCTGCGTATGCATTTCTCCCAATGATGCTATGCGTTCGCAACGCACTAATGGAAATGGGGTTCTAGTCTTACTATTTTGTATTGTGTTGTCTGTTTTTACATTCGCTCTTCACTAGCTTAGCGAAATTATATCTGAAACCTTGGCACAAATCTAAAATCACCGAATACATTTGGGGACCGCTATAACAAAGAAGCATGAAATACTTGAATACAACCCTTGACAATGCCAGCAGCATGTCAGGAATGCATTCGGATAACCCCAATTTTTTTTTTTTTTTTTTTGGATTGAAAGACAAATTTTTATTTTTTGGAATAAAAAAAAATTGACAATTTATGAACCCAAATCATCAAAATAACTTGACAGTTAAAAGGTTAATAAGTACTGATCAATAATAAACAAGCTGAAATGCTTTCATTCTTCTCTTATATGTGCTTTTTGTTGTAGATTGTGGCAAGTAACATGTGTGCACAAATAGCAAATTTCCTTTTCTCATGGGAAAAACCCTGTTCTTCTGGCTAGCTCTAAGCTAGACCAAGTGAACTAATCGAAGGAAATTTTTGGACTGCACACCCTGCAGTGTGTCTGTTTCTGGTTTTACAAGAGGAAAAAAAAAAACTTTTTTTTTCCCTTCAATACTGTTCTATAGTATGTTTGCTCTTTCTTATGCATTATTTTGCATATTTCTATCATACCTTCTAATACACCTTTTCATTCATTTTTATTAGAGCCACTCAAAGAGGTTTCATCTGATTTCGCATAGTGTTCTAGAGAACTAAGAGACAAATAATGAACAATGCCTGATAAATATAGGTGTTTCTTTCAAAATAGCTTCAGGTTCATATGGAGTGCCTTATGTAAGAAAGGATGCAATCAGTGTCCTTTTTTATAAAGTAGGCAACTGATTAAGATTACTAAATACTGGTTCATCTTGGCTTCAGTTCATCATGGTTGCATTGGGATTATGAAAGTTTCTCCCAAATCTTATGTGATATAAAACTGTTTGGAATTTAGAATGTAATGAGAAGTTCTTGTAAAAAAAAAAAAAAAAAAAAAAAAAAAATGCCATCATTTGATAGAATTATTTATTCATTATCCGCTGAGCAAATAAGAACTCAGTGCATAATGATGAATGATTTAATGAGTTTTGATAGTTTATCAGTATTGAATTCCTAGCCCCTTGTAGGGTTGTACTTGATCTATTGAACTCTTAACCCCATCAGACTTGTAGAAAATTATCACTCTGTCTAAGCAACTATTTTTTTTACTAAACAAAACTGAGAATGTAAATGCATGTTATTGTGCCAACAGAATCAACTGCAATTTGTGGTGATGCAACTAAAATAATAGTCGGTTCATAGGCTAGTTGTCTACAGATAGCACATTTAAACTTAAATCTAAGCTGATTCTGAATTTCAAACCGGCATATCAAATTGATTTTTAGCAGGGATAATGCAAAGTCAAGAATTGCAAACTGATTAGAGCTGCTGGAAACTAACTTAATATGCCCATGAAAGGTAGAAGCACACTCTGTGTTTGTATTCAGAAATCTCAGTTACATTCTGGTGAAGAAACAGAAAGGAGTAGTTATAGCAAAGGATGAAATTATAAAATAACTGGTTATTTAAATAATAGTAACCCTGTGACCTGAACTACCTAGCTGCCTATTGCTTTTGAGGTTTTTCCTCTTTTGAGCATGAATGTGAGTAGATAAATATAGTTACAATAAAGGTAACCCTTCTAAAGCCAATACCTATTAAGTGATTTTCCTTAACTTCATTTCATTGACTATAGTTTCGATCTTCTGTCAAATGCTTGGTCATTATGCTTGGGCTATACATTGTGCTTGATCTTGATTTTGGAACATTTCTTATTTTCTTCTGATTTTCTAAAATTTCTCAATTGAGCAAATAGATATGGCAAATAAACCATCATGCTCCACATTCCTCACTAAACTGTAACCCTTATGTAAAGTCTATGCCATCTCTCTAAAAAAAAATTAACAAGTCCTCAAATGGCAGAGTCATAAAATCTGATAGTGTGACCCTGATTCAAAATGTGCTGGCTACATGTGTTTTCACAATGTGAACATGAGCTAGTTTTCCTCAAAATTCTTCCATGAAGCCCCCCCCCCTTTTGTAGAGAGATATATCTTGAGTGCTTTGTTATAATGAAAATAATCCATAATTTAATCCTAAAACATGAATGAATAATATCTATAATATATATATTATAATATCTTAATCAAAAAGATATACTCATTTTACTTTTGATTTTAATGTTTTAATACTAAAGAATATATAAATTATATTTTTACTTTTGATTTTGAGTTTGATTATAAAAGAAAGTTTTAATCTAAAATAATATATTCATTTATATAAATTTTTCTATCAATGTCTTCTTTATATATATATTTATATAAATTATGATAATTTTATTATTTTTACAATACAATGAGAGTGTTGGAGAATATTTTTTCTAAAATAAGGATCTTATCTAATTCAGTTCTTAATGTATACAGACAGGATCAAGAATTTCTTACTCATTTTTATTTATGATAAAGTTTTTTGGCTTAAGTTGACCAGTATCTTTCTAATAATTGAGTATTGTTCTTAACTTGTCAATTAACTCTCACAAAATTAACTAATTTGATCCTTATTTGAAAAAAGAAGAAACACACTCACTTAATTTGGTTATTGTTAATTGATAGTAGATTGGTTTGTTCCCCTTAACAAGTCAATTAATCTGCAGTCAATAACAATAGCTACATTTTCAGTACTTTGGATTTTGAATTTAATATTTGGAATACTAATTCATAGCTTTAATTAAATTTCTTTTCCTTGGATATAAATAAATACCTTATATAATAATAAATATATAAATACCTTTTCTAATAATAATTATATATATAAACTGTGGTTCATTATCTGTATTGTTATCAACGTTTTTATAAATTAATGATATAAATTTCTTTTAGAAATTCTGATCCTGATAAAAGTGACACACCTTTACTTCATGACAGTTCACATAGTCCTGAAAGTGAAAATGTTAGTTCTGATTGGTTCAAAAATACTGGGTAAGGAAAGCATAATATTTTAGTTATTATCTTTTAAATGTCCACTTTTTCTTCAAATAAACTGCATAGCTTGTTTCATTTAACTTGCTATACAATAAAATTGCATTAGTATTCTGTTTTATCTCTCATACAAGCAAGGTATAGCCTTTCTTGTTAAATTATCAGCAGTTCCATAATAATTATAGTAAGGTTTCTATCAAGTACTTACAAGTCATTGGATTTTTTTTTTTTTAACACAATTTTTGCTTCTTTAAAAGTCTTTGATTTCAATCAAAATCAGCAAATGTTTACTCATGAGACATTTCTGTCTGTTTTTCTGCGACTGCTATTTTAAGTGTGAATTAATATTTTGGAGAAGTATTTTTTGGCGATGCATTCATAGTGTTTAATGGGTTAATGTCTTAATTCTTTTCTGCTTCTATATGTTTGATGGGTTAATGTCTAAATTTTTTCCTACTTTGTAATATAAACAGTGAATACTTGAGTTTACACATGAAGCCCAGCCCTGATTGAAACATAAACATTTTGAAATAATTCCTTTGTTTTGAAACAAAATATTACTTCATAAAATATTAAATCAAAAATAATTTTTTTCCTTTTTGTGGTACCAGTTCTTTTCTTACATAGTGCTAAATTTGGCAACTTATTAACATTTTGACAATTTCAGAATCGGTTCGCATACAAAATTCCTTATTTAAAGGTTTGCTCTCTCTTTTTTTTTTTTTTTTTTTTTTTTTGTTGTTGTTTGTTGTTGCAAACAATAATATTGATAGATATCATAAAAACGATGATAATATATTATATTAAAATTCTCTTTAAGAATTAACATTAAAAGACAAGCTTTTATCGCGATTTAAGGAACGTTTCCCACCACTGCACATATCGTCTGTGCAAACAGTTCACATTGCCATGTTTAACCATATTTTGTCAAACGATTTTTGGCATTTGAAAGAAAGAGACTTGCTTTAACAAATTGTGTGTGAAATTTGTAAAAAATATCGTAATCATTAAGTACAAGGTATCTGAAACGGAACTATCATGCTACCACATTAGAATCATGATTTACTTCCAGTTCTGTTGCAAAATATCAGGCTACAAAATGTCACCAAATCATGTGTACTACTTTAGGTACTAATGTTGTATCATATGACACTGTGAAGGCGTTTAGTATCAAAAGTTCAAAAACAAGGATTATGACATTCAGGAAGCAGAATGCTCTGGCCGGCCTACTGATGTTGATGATTTCCACCTCTGAGAATTTGTAAAAGAAAATCAAAATGCAACAATTGGAGAGCTTGCGAAGAAATCAGACATTAGTGTCAAGTCCCTTAGTCGTGCTGTACATTACACATACATAACGTATGAGTTCAGTCTCTGGGTGCCACATGAGCTGACTCAAGCAGATAAGGACAGATGCATCTGGGCCTGCACTAATCTGCTCTATCAATGCAAGGACAAAATACTGGACCGGATCATCACTTGTGATGAAAAGAAGATTGACTTTGACAACACAGGCTAAAAATTGGGTTAGTCTATGCCTAGTGGGCCCCATCAGCAGCCTCGCAAAGTGTAATGTCACAAATAAAAAGATCTTGCTTTGTATCTGGTGGAATTGTTGTGATATTATCCACAAAGAGTATCTGGAAAAATGTAAAACCCTTGAGAGTAATGTGTACAGCGAGAGGCTAGTTGATGTCCTGTTGATGCTCATAAAAACATCGAACTAAGTTCTGGAGTAAAAAGGTAATGTTTCGTCAAGATAATGCAAGACCGCATATGTCTGCATTCACCGCCTGTACTCTGTATGGACTCGAATGGGAACTTTTCCCACATCCACAATATAGCCCCAACATTGCTCCTTCGAACTTTTACCTTTTTCACACCTGCAGCTACATCTTACTGGTGCTATTTTCCATTCTGCACAGGACATCTGAAATCAGGTTGATTTGTTTTTTGGACTCACGGCCACCAAGTTTCTGTGCTGAAGGCTTTGAAAAATAACAAAACATTGGCAGAAAATCATAGATTTGGGAGGAGATTATTACCTGCACTAAAGGTACTGCTTTCATTCCCCCCGTAACTTTATTAAGAAAAAATTTTGGCGAAAAACTTGTTACAGCCAGATATTTTCTCCTGACATATATTAAAGTGACATTACTTTCCATTTTGGTGACTTCAGAATATTTTTATTCTGAAAAATGAAGAAGACAGTAAATGCTAATAAAGCACAATTTCTGAAACACTTCCTGGGAAATACAAAAGTACTGTAGTAGTTGTTTAAAAATTTATTTCATTTGTCTCTTTAATGATTAGTCATAAGAGTTTTTTTTTCCACATGTAATTGCTTCAGAATATTTAAATGTGTGTCAGTTTTCTCTTAAACATTCATTTTTACACTTTTCTTTTCTGATTTTTTTTTTTTTTTTTTTCTGCCAAAGGGGTAGTTTGCCTAAAACGACTATTAGAATAGTCATTCTTTCCTTTGCCAGGAAATCACCTCTTTCATTTCCCTTAATGCCACAATGAGGATTCCAAGATATAGCTAGTTTGAAGCCTAATTTGTTTTTCCAGCCCAAAGGGCGTTAGCCCAGAAGGGCTATTAATTTCGTTTTGACATTTTGCATTGATTCACTTTTCAAACTGTTGCCACCAAATATTAGGGCTTGTATTATATTTAAAGAAATTAAATAATGAATCTTCATAAATGTATGTATGTTTCTTGCGCTGTAATAAAGCAACAGTACCTAGGGCCATCAAATTTTGAATAACGTAATCCTTCACCGAATATGGCCATCTGGAAGCCCTAATTTGGGTTTGTTTTGTTATTGATTTCTATCATGTTACTCTTTAACAAATTTTTGATTAACAAACTTAATAATTTCAAAGCGAGTTATGGCAACACCGTACGAGGGAGGGGGAAGATTTTTATCTCCACCTTGCAAGACTTTGTATCAGAAATTCTAAAGATATGTTCATTTTAAAATTATATTGTGATATTGCTGTTAAAATTAATTTTATGATTTAAGTGCGAAAAACATGATACAGTACAAAGTCTGAAATCCGGATTGGGCAATTTGGGATTGTTCGGGATATTAGATCTTCAGTTTAAATCTGGTAAGATGGCATGCAGAAATTAGGCAATTAAAAATATAAAATCGTAATTTATGAAATAAAGAGCAATTATGATCTAAAAGGTATCAAAATTTACCAAAAAGAAAAGCTTAATATTTATTTATTTACTTTATTTAACATTTCTTTCAGTGTAAGTTGTTTAAGTTGCTTCGTTTTTTGTGCTAATACTTTCTGTTTAATTCTATAAACAGACGTAATTTCGTGTTCAATAACAAAGTTCCACTGTTCAAGTCCTGTAATTGCTGTGTCTAGAATACAAACTAACTTGTCAATCGAAATTTTTTTGTTTTCAATAACCTCTCTGTCACATTCTTCACTATCAGTAGTGGTATTTTCTGGATCTAGAACCATACTATTTAATTGATTGATGAATGGGGCATTGTCATCACAATAAAAAACTTCTGTTATATCATCTTCATTTACCGCTTCTCCACATTTCTTTACAAAATCCATTAACTGGAAAATTTCACCTTTAGTTTGTGATATACGAAAACCTTCAAATTCGCGACTATCATCTTCATTGTCCTCACCATGAAATATGGTAGCTGGCCATAAATTATGCCAAGTATTATTTAATGTATCTGGAGACACATCTTCCCACAATCTTGCAATGCTTCACACAGCAGATTTTATGCTAAAATATTTCAAAAATTCTTGAATAGTCTTGCTATTCTTCAAGAAATTAAACATGGATTTTAAAAATGCTACTTTATATTTGCAATTCAGCGCACGCACTATTCTGATATCCATAGGCTGAATGGCAGACGTACAATTTGGAGGGAAGAATAATACGGATACATTATCTTTCATTAAAAATTCAAGTAAAGTATGAGCCGAACAGTTGTCTACAGTCAGGTCTATTTTTGAGTCATCAGGTAAACCACCCAAATTCAAATGTTGCCGAGCCTTGGGTATAAAATGATTTTCTAACCAATAATTCATTAACGCTTGTATCATCCATGCTCTTTTATTTGCACGAATGTAACATAAAATTGTTACACCTTTAAATGATTGAGGTTGTGCATGTTTTCCTATTATGAAAAGTTTGCACTTGTGTGTTCCTGCAGCATTTGCGTACGCTAAAATTGTTTGTCTCGCTTTGGAATTTTTGACACTAGTTGGAGCCTTTTCTATAGAGCAGCGGTTCTCAACCTTTTGACAATCTCGTACCATTGAAACAAAAACTGAAAAACACTAGTACCACCACTATATTTTACAATGATTACTTTCCAATTTCTCAATAGAAATATTAAAAACAAATATATATATATTGCTATTTGCACTACCTATTGGTTCTTTGTATTAAATATGTACATTTAAAAAAACTGTTAGATTAAAAATTGATTATTGTTTTAATTACCAAAATTTCAGTTACAATACTTTAATTCTAAAATTTAGTGTGAAATTTGAGCCTGTTAAAGTGAGTTCAATTTCTTTATGTCTGGTCTTATTTCATTCAGCTTTAACTGTAAATTAGGACCCACTTTTAATTTTGGTTTGCATTTATATTTCATATTTAACATGGAAAAAATCATTGCTCACACAAACAGGTTGTGCAAAAAGGCAATACAAATTTGATAGCTTTATTTGAAATGCCTTTAAATTCTTTTTTTCTGTTCAGCCAAAAGTTAACAAGTGTGTCATTTTCGCAATCTTCATTTAGAGTTCGATCATAGGAAATTTCTATCAATTGTTCTTTTTTTTATGAGTTTTTTTTAATTTAATAGTTAAAAATACTTTCTTTGCGTACCACTTGTTGAGAACCGCTGCTATAGAGGTTGCCTAGGTATTTTGCAGTACATATTACCAGAAAAGACCAGTTTCATCAGCATTGTAAATTTGTTCTGGGGATAATTGTTCACTATAATGAGTTCCACTAGTAACAATCCTATAATATCCTAATCAGTGAATAGGGATTGATTCTTGAAAAAGGCATTTGTAAAGATTTTTCTGGTATTAAAAATATCAACCACTGTAAAGAGAAAGAGGCTAAAGAATAGAGATTTCTTTTAATAAATCCAAAATTTCAGCATTAGCTTTCTTTATAATGTTATTAATTCAATTGCGCATGCATGAAGTATAGTGGGAGAATAAAATTCTGTTTAGGGAAATACTTATTGTTCGGAGTTTTGTAAGCAGCATATTTATTTATTCTTTTTTCATAAGCAAAAATTTTAATTCGAAAGTAATTTCTAAGAGTTCTTTATTTCCTCAGAAACATTTTGTTGGTAGTGTGGTTTTTCCTTGCTTAGACATTTTCTTTGTATGTAAGTATAATAAAAATATATTAGTTTTATATTCAATAAATCTTCGTAAGATAATTAAGGTAAAAGTGCATTTTAGTTATTTATTTATGTGCTGGATTTAATATAAAATTTAAAAAGGGAAAATGTAGAAAGATGATCTATAAATCTGCATAACCCTTGGTCCTAAGTTGTATAAGTTATTGAAATTCTTATTTACATGGGACTTACTTCACTTTTTCCTTTAAATAAGTTGTTTCTGTAAAAATTTAAATAAGTTGTTTCTGTAAAAATTGTACTCATTATTTACTTTCAAGTTTTTTTTCATCCTTTAAATTAACAATTTCTATACACCTTCTGTAAAAGTAGTTGTAAAGCTAATATGCATAAGTAATATGGCTATAGTGCAAATGACAGTAGGCTATTCATAAAATACACCTATGTCCAGAAAACTCTGAAGAAAAGAAAGCATTAAAAATTTTCAAAACTAAGTTTGTTTAATTTTTCAGTATAACTCCTTTTTCTTTCAAGACATAGCACAAGTTTCAAATGTTTTGTATGTCTTGAAGAAGTCGCTTTCTGGAATGCTGTTTATATATTTTGCCATTATTACTTGAATGTCATGGAAGGGATTCAAATTGTCTTTCCTTCCTCGATGTGTTGAGTTTTTTAACTGTAGGAAAAATGTGCTAAGAAACGTAATAAGGCATGTATGGTATGGATAATGATGATCAAAATGTGCACAGAAAAACCATTGTCATTGAGAAAGAAACATTTTCTACTTTGAGTCAGAATGCCTGCACTTAATTTTAATTGTTTTTGAATTTTTTTAATTTTAGCTTTCTTTTAAACCTGTTTTGTTCCTTGTCATTTGTGAATGGATCTTTGGGTATTATTTTGCTGAGCACTTTTGAGTTGCCATTCTTCTGCTGAGCACTTTTGAGTTGCCATTCTCCATATCCAAGTTTTGTACAGCTGTCTTTAGTTACAGAGTGAGGAATTGTACGATTAGCTAACTTAGTGCCTTCCTTTTGCCAAGAATATTATAAAGAATGAGGTTTTCTTCTCTTTTATTAATATTTAGGTTTATAAATAAAAGTGACAAATTAATTGATGATCCTCAGCAAGAAACCGGCAGAGAAATTTATTTATTTATGTGAGTGTTACTTATAGAATTTCCACTCTTTTCATTTTATTCCAGCTAACGTTAACCACCCCCAAAATGTATGTAACATTTCTTACCCTTGAGATTGACATTCTTCATTGTTTGTTTTAGTTGTTAATTTACATTCATTATTATATTTTGTAGATGGTTTTTTACATCCATGATTTACTTCTGTAACTATATGTTTCCTATGCAAAGCAGAATGTAATGTTGTATTCTCTAAAGTGTTCCAAGGTCACATAATGGGAAATAAATATGTACTGTTGTCTATGTCTGAAGCAGAACTTGGTGGAAAAAAAAAATTATATACTACCAAGTCCAAAATTCAGACATTCATTAGCCAGAATGATGTATTATCTGGACCTCCCATAAAACAATATTTTTTAAGTCTCCCATTTGAAACATTCTGCATGTTGTTTCAGTTTTGAATAGCTAATTAGTGTGAAGTGATCCACAAAAATGAAAGTGTGATCCACTGGCTAGTGGATCACATTTTCATTTTTGACTCTTGAATGATTATGATGATCTTCTTCCACAAATTCTCGCATGTGTGCCTTTTTAACATCAGTAGGCCAGCCAGATCACTCTGCTTCTTAAATGACTATTCCTGGTTTTTGGCACCAAACCTACACAGTGTCATATCATACATTAGTTCCTACAGCTGTGCACATGATTTGGTGACATTCTATAGCTGACTTTTTGCAACAGAACTGAAAGTAAATACCGTATTTACGCGAATCTAATGCACATCGTTTTTGGCCAAATGTAGTACTCAAAATTGGGGTGCGCATTAGATTCGAGTGCAAAGTTCGCCGATGACGTCAGCAGTTCGCCGATGACGTCAACCAAATTTAAATCGTAACAATGGATTACTGTATTTCTCGACTACATTTACCGTTACATTTATGGTTGACACATTATTGCATAGAGGATACAAACTGAGGATTATTGCATAGAGGATTCGTACGTAGTCACGAAATGGAGGGCAAGCAGAGAAGAATGTCATATGACGCTACTTTCAAACGTAAAGTAATTCTTTATCCTGAAGGAAATGGCAATAGAAAGGCTGGGAAGAGTTAAACGTAGCTGAGAGCAATGTTCGCTTGTGGCGGCAACAGAAATTGGCACTGTTTGCAACTAAAACTAGTAGAAGAAATTCACTGGCCCTCGCAAAGGAAGACACCCTAAAATTAAAGAAAAAGTTTTTGGAATTTGTACGTGAAAGGAGGAAGAATGGACAACCTGTGACTAGTGACACTATAAGAAAATAAAGCAAAAGAGGAGGCTGAAGTTCTTTGGAATACCGAAACCAGAGTTAAAAAAGCTAGCCGTGGATGTGTGGATCGGTTGATGAAGTGGATGGGTTTATCTCTAAGACGCCGTACAACAATATGCCAAAAGCTTCCTGCAGATTTTGAGGGAAAACTACTAACATTTTAGCTGTATGTCATCACACACTTCGGAAGGAAAAGAATTTTTCAATGGGGCAAATTGGCAATGCTGACGAGACGCCAATTTGGTTTGATATGCCTCCTAACTACACCATTACGTAGAAGGGGACTAAGGAAGTTATCATCAAAATAGTGAATAAAGACGTTTACTATTAATCACTGATTGCAGAAACTGTTAGCTAGATAGAAATGTTACGATTTATTTCATGTTCATACTTTACGATATGTACTGTATATACAGTAGTGGTAATTAACAATGATTGTTTCACATAACAATAGCCCACCAATAGGTTAATTCTATGTTCTGCTACTTTATGTATAAATCTATTGTTGTATAAAATATGGTATCTAAATTTAAATAAAATTATCATACCATTGATTGATAGTTAAATACAAATCCATTGTTGTATAAAATAAGATTCAATAAATTCCTCATACCATTGATGCGCATTACATTTGCCGACAAAAAATTGTTTTATTATTTAAAGTTTTAAAATGGGGATGCGCATTAGATTCGATGGCGCATTAGATTCGCATAAATACAGTAATAATGGTTCTAATCTGGTAGCGTGATAGTTCCATTTCAGACATCTTGTACTTAATAATAACAATATTTTTTACAAATTTCACAATACAGTGTTCTAAAGCAAGTCTCTTTCTTTCAAATGCTCAAAATCGTTTGACAAAATATGATTACACACGCTAATGTGAACTGTTTGTGCACACGATATTCGCAGTGGTAGGAAACTTTCATTAAAACCCAATATTATATTTTGTAATGCTGTACACAATAACTGAATTTTAAAGACCAGTGTTAATTTGGACTTGAACCTGGCATGTCCTGTTTGTAGTACTGTCATAGCAGAGAATAATGTCTCAGTCATCAATCAGTTAACCAACAGCAAAACAACCCCGCCCCCAGTGGCAGGCCCTAACTTTTAATAGACGTTGACCACTACTAAAGGCTGGAAGCAGTGGTCACTTTATTATGGAGACACCCAATAGATGGGCCATCATTGCATCCTATGAGGGGACGGACAAATTACATCCATGCTTTTTCCGGGATTTGAGCTCAGGCCCTTCGGTATGGCAGTCAGAGCAACTAACTACTTTCCTGTCTGGGCAGCAAGAACAGCAAAACATGTAGTGTGGTCTTAAATCCAGAAAATATCATCACCATTTGTGAAAGAAGTGAGAAAAAGGTTGTTGAGAATAAAAAGATTCAGTTGATTACTTTATGAGAATTCTTAACTTGACAGTTACAAGACTTGAACAATGAAACTTTGTAACCGAACAAGAAATTATTTATCTGTATAAAATCAAAGAGAAAATATTAACACATGAAAGATAACTCTTTAACAAGCTTTCATTAAGAAAAAAAGGCGAAGAAAAATTTGAGAGTTTTTTTAGGAGTTTTATTCTTTTCAGACCATAAATGCTACATTGTTTGAGAAACAAGTTTTCATATTTTAAATTTCACAATTTCTACATCTAATCTACATTTAAATTGATGATTCAAAGATTTTTTTTTTTCTTTCAGTGCTGTAGCATCAAAAAAACAAGTTGTACCTCAAAGTAATGCTGGAAAAACCAGTTTTTTATCTTCTGGTATTTTTGATAGAAGTGGGAGTAATATTAAGTTAAAATCACCTACAGCTAATCACAATAATCCTCAAAATTCTATTGGTTATAGTGATAAACAAACAGAAAACAAGAAACTACTGAATGATGAAGGAATGAAAAAGAATCCTCTGTTTGATGATGAGGAAGAGGAGGAAGAGGACTCAGAAGATGAATGGTGCATTCCTCATTCTGGTGGTTATCAGAGAGTAAGACCTGGTGCTGATTAAATTTTGCTCAATATAATTTTCCTGCAGGCTGTGCGATAAGATGATTTTGTTATTTAACTCTGTATCTGTTCTGATTTCTAACTATTGTGTTTAGAATTGATGTATTCAGTATTGTAGCAGTAGAAAATCTAAACTAAATGAGATAGTTTTTGTCATCCTGTTATAACAAAATGCACCTATCCCTCATTTTATACAATGCTTATTTGTTGTGAATTTTAGTTAAGATTAATTTTATTTTGTTTTATTTTATTTTTAAGCCCAAACGGGCAGTTTGCCCAGAAAGGCTATTAATCTCATTTTGGCATTTTGCATTGTTCACTATAAAACATCGTTTCACTGTTCAAATTGTTGCCACCAAATATTAGAGCCCTGTATTATATTTGAAAAAATTAAATAATGAAAAATCTACATGAATGCATGCATTTTTCTCACATTGTGAAAAAACAACAGCACCTAGAGACATCAAATTTTGAATAACGTAGTCCTCCACTCAAATATGGGCATTTGGGGGCTCAGATTTTTAATTTGTTTTATTATCTATTTCATATCTTGCAAAATTTTAATGAATTTTTCTTAAGAAGCTCAATGATTTCCAAGCGAGCAATGGCAACACTGTACGAAAAATAAAACACTTTTATCTCCAATGCGCGAGACTGTGTATCAGAAATTCTAAAGATATGCCCTTTTTAAACATTCTGTGATACTGCTGTTGAATTGAATTTTGTGGTTTAAGTGCAACGAGCATGATATTTAATAAATAAAGGTAACGCACAAAATGTTTAAAAAAGGCCCCTTTGGCAATAATATAAAATCTGAAAGCTCTTTTTTTTTTTTTTTAATTTAGTGATATGGATGATAGAGATCTGAAATTTTTATTGAATTGAAAGCATTTATGTATAATTATAAACTAGTACAATTACTACTGATTACATTAACTACTAATTTACATGCTAATTAACTAATCATAATGTACTCATAATTGCATATGGAATGAACTTAGTTATAATTAAGATTCTTTTGAATATCTCCAGAAATCATGTACTATTGGATAATATTCAGAAGAGCCACGTTTTGAATTAAAATTTAGCCTTTAAAAATCTGAAACATTTATTACATGAACAGGTAAGAATAGTTTGGTTCCCTCCCTCTGCGATGATTTTAGTTTTTACAAGAAAATTTAAATTTTCACATAAATACCATTGCTTTGCTATCAACTTGCTGTTATATACTTTGTTTGGTAGATCATTTATAAGACAGAGCTGTTTATTAAAGTTTAAATTACATGACATTATCTTCCAATGCCAAATGTAATTATGTTTTCAGTATGTATAACTATGATAAATGACTAAAAGAATAGCATTGTTGCTTGTATAACAAAATATTTTTAAGGGTGGTTTAATTTTTGTATATTTATAAATCCCCCCTTACTTAATATATTTTGAATTTTTTTTAAGTTTCATTTTACTTAATATATTTTGAAATTTAATTGTATCAGTTGAGGAATGGGTGTCATGTAATTTACAGTTTGTTTAAAGTCTGCATTTACAAGATTTCTCTTGAAGAATTTCTGCATTTCTTTAGATTGTCATGAATGTGTTGCTGTGTAATAATAAATGTATGCTTCTCCATTATATATTTATATATAACCATAAGCCTAAAAACGTGACATGCATAAATGTTGATAGTGTGCCTATTTTTAAGATTTAATGCTAATTTGCCCTTTAGTTAATTATAGAAAATATATTTCCCAGCTTCTCAAATCACATGGGATATATATGTTCAGTTTAATATGAAATATTTTTTAATTTCTTAAATTTATTTATTTAAAATTTGTAGAATTATATGTTCTTTTGTTGCACTTATTTGATAAGCAAATATATTTAGCTGTGTTTAAGGTATATATTTTCTTCCTTTATTGTGAGGTTTATTTTTTTTAATTTCAGAATACTCATTTTTAAAAGTGGGTTTATTATTATTTTATTTTTGATAAATATTTAGCTAATAGTAAATAAAATTTCAGTTAACTTGGCTACTTTGCTCTTCTGCCCCCCCCCCGAAAGTTAAATGGGTAGTATAACCTTGTGAGCAATGTCTGACATGTATGTATCCTGAGATTTCATTTAGTGGTAACATTGTGAATGATTGTGAATTTCAAATGATTATAAAAACAGAAAATTTCTTCAGTAATGTATGATCTTCATATGCATTAACCATTTATATTCATAAATGTGCTTGTATTTATAGCCAAATCATGGGAACTTTGGAAACTCACTGGAGTAAAGCACTGAGAAAAATTGCAATAGCTTTTCAAAAAATCATTTTTTATTAATGAAAATGTATTTATGATTTTACTTAATATCACAATATAGTTTCAGGTTAAAAATAAGAAAATTGTATGCGATATTAGGCATCTTACTGTTGCAGTTCTAATGTGAATGATTTTAATTTAGTTTTAGATGTTTTAATCTATTGGGTTGGAGGGAAAGTTCTGTCGTATTTTAAAGAAAATATTTGAATTAATTTATAAAAATATGTGTTTAATATTAATCAATTATATATGCTCCGTTATTTGTTACAACCTGTTGCCATCTTCCAGGTAACCTGTAAATTCCTGTTTTGTAGACGTTCTCATCCATGGAGTTAAAATATCAGCAACTGCCTTAGACACTTTCAAAAGACTTAAATTTTTTCCCGTTAGATATTTTGCAGGATCTGACAGGTAATAATCAGGGTGCAATGTCAGGTGATACGGGGGGTGACTAAGGTTTCCCATCCTAACGCATTCAGTTTTGTAGTGTCACCACTGCATTATGCGGGCGAGCATTATCGTGATGGAACACTATTCCTTTTCTGGACGCTATGCTGGCCTTTTTCTTTGATAGCTGCTTCAATTTTCCAGCTGATTCACAGACCCCGTTGATGTTTTTCCCTGTTTTTCAGCAACTCGTAATACAATGGACCTTTCCTGTCCCACCACAAACAAAGCAGTACTTTTCATTGATTGATACTTGGTTTTGGAAACTGTTGCTGAGACGTTCCTGGTTTGCAGTAGATTTTTTCTTTTAATATTCTCGTAAAGAATCCACTTTTGACATGTTTTTTTCCCTTAAATATTACAATAATGATAAGGGTAAAAAAAGGGACCTTTATATTATACAGCAGCTAAAAAAAAACAAAAAAACAAAATCCGATTGACTCACTAGCCAGATGTTTTTTTTATTTACAAGAAAAATCACCTGCCTATTTAAAATAGGACAGAACTTTCCCTCCAACCAGATAGTTTGTTGAATTTTAATAAGGGAGTGAGAAGATGTAGCTGTTATGAGGAAATTGATAAAAAGATATGCTTACATGGAAAATAAATATTAAAAAATTAAAAGCAAATGTTATATTTAATATTGTATAGTAAGTGAATAATATATGTCTTTTTTATATCTTGTTAAAAATTAAGGACAGGAAGAGAGTAAGAGATGGAAATGTGGATATAAAAAAACTTCATAAACATTGATTGATATTATGAACTAATAAAATTTAACAAAGCAACATTATTATTTTAAAGAATTGTAAACTATAATTTGAAGAACTGGATGGCAAATTTTAGCATTTTCAATGGAAATACATTTAATGTAATATCTAAATTTCCATTATAAAAAAACTTTTCTTCAGAATTGCATTGCATAATGTTTAAAAAATAATTTTCCCTGAAAACTGAAATAGGGCTGGTTGAATCGAATATGTGATAATAAAAGTCTTAGAAAAAAACTTCAGAAAGTTTCCATTGAGTATATTTATGGTTATAATTAATTACATTACATGATAATTACAGTAATAATTTGATTAAGTTTCTTTTCAGTTTGTATATATTTTTTTTATGTTCCTGCCCACTAGAAAGTATAAAAACCAGCCATACAGAATAGTTTTTATTTAATTAAAATCCATTATGTATTTTTATATAATTTTTCATAATGCATTTGGGATTTAATGTATTATACTGACAATCTTTTCAAATTATTCATTCTGTTTCAGTAGTCTGTATGGTTTGAAACCAAATAAAAAAAACTGTTGAATTTTTCTAAATATAATATGTAATGTAATCTTTACTTATGCTATATACAATGCAGTTATACATCATATGATGTGATCTTATTTTTATTTTCTTTTGTGTGTGTGTATATACATATATTTAAATTCAGCTTATTTGCATTATCTTATGATTTTCTCTGCTGTTAAGTGTAAGGTCTTGTGTGTTTTATCATGTACATCTGGTTATTGTTAGATTTTGTTGTAAAAATAATAGTTTAAAACTATTAAATTTATGAAATGTATGGAAGGGAAAAATTCTATAAATAAATGTGATATTGTCATTGAAATTAAAAACATATCTGAATATGGAAGAATTGTGATATCTTGTGGTAGAAATTATGTTTAAGTCAGTAGTTTACTTTTTTTAAATTCAGAATGCAAGTGTTTTATTTCTTTCAATGCATTTGTAATGGTATTGATTAAATACCATTTTAATGCTTTCAGTAATACAATTGAATTTTACTTTAGCAAATCTTTCATAAAATAGTAACATTCCAAAGTTTAATAATAAAAGCTTGTTATTGTATTCCACAATCATTGATCTTTTTAATTATAAATATTTTGTGATATATGTAATCGATCATTTTTAGGTACTTTATAATGTTTCTAAAAAGAGAAATTTGATTTCTATTAGAAAGGAATTTCAACAAATAATAATTTATTTTACATCTGTTGAATTTTCTTATTATATATTTTATTTATAATAGTTGTTTTAGTTATTCTTTATACACTTATCAGGTAACCAAATATTTACAAATTTTTATAATGAAAATATAAGGTTTAGTATAGTATTATGTAATATTACCTTTCTTAAAGCTAGTTAGATAACAACCTAAAATTGTTATCGTATATGAAGTTTGACTAATATTTGTTTTGATATAATTTAAAGTACAACTTAGTGGTACTTTAAATTAAAACAGTACTTTGTTGGAACTGTTATAATTTTATTTTTATATATGAGCACAAAATTTTAAATATTTAATATTATTTACATTTTTTTTTCACTGATTTTTCTTCTCATTCAGCTATGAAGAGCAGCATTTTCCAAAAATAAATTTATCATACCTTTGTGGGAAAAGTGTTATAGATTTTTACTATGTTTTAGAACATATCTTGTTTTTTTAAAGCTCTTAAAAATTATTTGTTCATAAAGAAATGGTAAGCATTGTGGGATAAGATTATTTGTCTGCTTCCGAAACATGATATATGAGAACACCATTGCTCATAAATGTAGCATGAAGCATTTTACAAAATTTTTATTTGTTCTCAGCATAAATACTCTTGAAAGATACTGATTATAAATAAAGGTGTATTGATTTTTTATGCACTTTTGTAAAGATTTTTTTTCCATTAGTTAATCTATGTATAATAAATGTGATGACATAGGAATAATATACTCTGTTAATAATAAATTCTTAAAATGTATATATGTCACGGGTATATATATATATATATATATATAATATATGTATAGATATATAATTTTATATATTGTTTCATTTCACATTTGGGCATTAAAAATGTGATAGTGAAGTATTTTTGCATTTAAGGAAAAAGATTGGAAATTTAGATTTATTATTATACAAAGTTTTTACCTCTAAATGTATATGTAATATAAAATAATACTTATTTATATATTTATTAAATTGAAATTGACCATTCCATGTATCTCAAAGTTTACAATTGGGTTTCAATATAATTCCTGGAAAATTACGTATATTATGTAATACATTAATTGATAATTGTTATTTTTATTTTAATTTTGAAGCAAAAACAAATTATGACCAACTGTATATTGTCGAGCGAGTAGCATGATTATCTACTTGGCTTGGACTTAAAAAGTTTAAAGAAGATGGCAGATATTTTGCCAATCTTCAATAATTCTGTATAGTCAGACTGTTATTTCAAGTGTGCAGTTATTTCTTGATTCATGATATCAGTATAAGAAGTTCTTGACATCAAAATTCATGAATTGAATTAAAAAGCTTCTAAAAACTTTGAAAAAATTTAGTTGTCACCAGGATATAAAATGGTTACTCAAAAAATAACATCAATATATGTACTTGATGTTATAAATAAAAGGTGTTAAGAGCATTAGGGTCTACATAACCAAGGAATCTATTGTTTTAGTCAAATAGTTTTTCTAATGCTGAAATAATTATAAGTCATCAAATAAATGAATATATAAATAAAAAAATTCATTGGAAGTGGGATAGGACTAATTTCTTGATTATTGTAGATTCCTGAATCACTTTTAGTGTACATTGAAGGAATATACTAAAAATTATTTTGATAATGGCAGAGATAATTAAGTGTTTATTTACACACCTATCTTAGATATATCTGTATGTATATTAGTAATAAATATTTGGAAAGGCTTTTTATGAATATAAATTTGAAATTGAAAAATGAATGATCATTCAGTGAGATGGCTGTATATCAAAATATTTACTTGTCATGAGAATTGAACTGAATTTATAAATATTAGTTTTAAAGTATAATTTACATAGACCATATCTGAACATGTTTCTAAATTGTTTTCATAAAATTCAAGGTAATATATCAGTTTTACCCATCATGTGTCAGGCATGTTTTTAGAAACAGTAAAGTACTTCTGTATATATATGAAATTATGCTCAAAAAGGTCTAAAATATGTGAACAAACTTTTGAAATAAATTTCTATATAAATTTCTTAATATTGAAATCAAATTATGAAAATCAGTATTATTTAGGCTGTTTTTGATATTTTATATAACACGAAATTATATTATTTACATAGTATTATTGATACTGATACATTTTCATAGTTTTTTAATTTGTAGCTTTTTGATTCATGTTTAAATTTATATGAATGCTTACAAGCTGTTAAACGCACGGGAAGTCAATTTCAAAGTGTATGTTTTTTTAAATGAATGCTAACATTATAATGTACAGTGTTCTTGCATTTATTTAAATGAGTATGAAATATTCAAATGCTAACATTATAATGTACAGTGTTCTTGCATTTATTTAAACGAGTCTGAAATATTCAATCATCATTTACAAAAATTATTTTGGCTGTATTGTTGTGCGGATTTTATTCTTTGACTGTCAATTATTTGCCTGTTTGTGTCTCTAATTTATTCTCTGCTTTAAAGTTTTCAGAAACTGGAAAATGATCTGAGAAAAAGTTTGGTATTTTGTTAAAGCTTCTCCAAAGAAGTTAAACTGTAATATAAAAATAGATTAAAATATTTTGCTTTTTCTATTTATTTTAGTTTCAAATTTTTTCATCAGTTATGAGGTTACAAGTAGTTTTTTTTTTTTTTTTTTCCCCATGTGTGTGAAATAACATGTTCATTTGATGTTTTGTTATAGCTGTGATATATTTGTGTACATGAAATAAAATGTATTGCTAAAGCATCTTTGTTGAATATCATTACATTTATATTTGTTTTGAATACATAATTTAAACTAGACTTCTCAAAGATAATTTTTATAGTTATTCGTAAATTTGACTTAATTTAAAAACCAGTGGAATTTAAGTATTTACATAAAAATACAATTTTGTAGACTTCAAGTACTATATCTTCTGGCTGATTTCTGATCCATCAATTTAGGCACTTTTCTGATGGGCGTATATGTCAGTCACCACTGAGAATTTTTCTGTATGCAAGTATTGACTATCATTTTCTGTTGAGTTAACTGCTAGACATTGAGATTTTCCTTGGATACTTGGCCCATTCCAATTTCAACATGTCTGTCATAGAATAAAACTATTCCTTGAAAATATTTTTTTTTTTTTCTTTTGCTTCTTCAAATTTTATAATTTACTGCAGTGTATTTATGAAAATATTTTAGAACCAAAATGTAAAGTAAACATCATTTCAATGTTTAAATTATTTACTTTTATGCCTATATGAATATTTGAGATTAAATCATGCAAATTTGTTTATGTTTTATACTGAGCTTGGCAAAGAGGATGGGCAATACTGAAATGCTTCCGGCGCTTTTCTATATTAGATATGGCAAACCTATACCTTGATATTATTTCATCAATGGAATTTTCTGCATTACCAGTTGCTTAGGTCAGTTTCACTGCAGATAGTTTTCGTATGGTTGAATCTTCACATCACTGGGGGCAAGAAGAAAAATTATTAAATTAGTGTCACATTTATCAACTAATAATTAAATCTGATTTAGCAAAAATCAAAAATACCACTGTAAGAAAATATCAGTGATTTCAATTAACAGTTATTTTCCCCCTCCTTTCAGAATTCATTCTTAATATAGAATTATTATACAAAACATCACAAAATGTTCTCTTGTAAAAATTATTACATTAACAGCGATTCAGAATTTTTTGTTAATTAGTTAAGATATATTTGTTGTACATCATATAACTTGATAATTATGGTTTCAGTTTTATTTCATGAATATCTAAACTTTTGATTTTTAGAGCAGAACAAAGGAGTGAATTGTCGTCTGACGCAAATCTAAAAGCAATCAAATGCAACTGTTTTAGTGGCATGTTCTTCTGTATTCAAGTTCATAAAACAGTATCCAGACTATTGAAATTGTGCTTATTTTTTCCTTCCTTTTTATTCAAACTGTGTGTGTTTAATTACATTCGCTATTTTTAATAGTATAAAAGATTTTAAGCTGATCCTTTGTAAGTAATACTATCTGCTAAAAGCCTAATATTCAAAATTCAGGTAGGCAAAAAATGCAGACGTCAGGCTCTTAAATTTTTATAAACAAACTTAAAAATTGTTTTTTATATAAAGCATTATAGCTGTATTCCATTTTCAGTATTTTTGTTGCATTAAAAAAGATTACATATACCTAAGATATGTATTTGTAACATACAGGGTATCCATAATTTATTCACCAGATAAAAATATAATTTACAAATAATACAGATTAAGAGATAAGGAAAAAAGACTGAATGAATTTTATTTAGTACTTAAAAAAATTTTATAGTAATACACTTCACATGACCACCATTAGTTGCTCGGAGAATATGCACATATCTTTTCTCGATTTCCCTCCAGAGGATATTAAGTCACAGTATTTGTTTCTGTAGTGATTCGATTTTTCAGTTCTTCGATGCTGCGAATCTGTAGCATAAACTCTTCTTTAGATATCCCCAGAAAAAGAAGTCAAATAGCTTGTTGTCTAGAGAATCGCATGGTCATGAAGTTGGTCCAGCTTAACCAATCCATTGATCTGAGACTGTTTCATCAAGGAACATGTACATGTGTAGCCCAATGACAGGGAACCGTATCCTGTTGGAAAAACGGTTTGGCTGCATTTCTTCTGATTGCAATACAACAGCATACCAAAGTAATCGTCTGAATTAATTGATGAATCTGACAAAAGAATGTCTAGTTATTTTGTTACATGCTTATTACACATCAGACGTTAACTTAAGGGCTACCTTGCTCAATTTCCCTTACAAAATGCTGCTTTTCTGACACCCAAATCCTGCAGTTATGTCGATCAACCTGTCCTCAAACATGAAACGTCTGAATATGTTTTTCTGAGGAAATTGGTCATGATTACTGATATGGTCAAGAATGTATACAGAAAATTCCTTATGTATGATTCTCATTAAATTTGATTTGTTTACAGATCTGCATTTTATACGCTGTCAATTGCAATCATTCATGAAAACTTTATGAACATTTAACCTGGGAATTTACTGTGACTACACACAAACATATCTCAAATGGCAGAAACATTTTCATTGCTGACACTTGACCTACCTGCACATTCTTTATGCAAAACATGTCCTGTCTCTTGAAACTGCTTTAACCATCTTTTAATTGATTGTATTGGTGAAGGTTTATTAAATTCACGTTGGAATCGCCTCTAAACAGTTTTCGAACATTTCCCATAACCAGAGAATGCACATGGCTTTTTAAATGCATAATGCCATTTGTCTGTAAACAAACAATTTCTCTGTTGCCATTTCCAAAAATTAGAACAAACAAAATTCCTTGAATTAAACATTACATTGATATAAATTATTTTCTGGTACTTCATAAAATTACATTTCAATTTAATTTTGTTACCCAGTGACTAAATTATTTACATCCTGTATTTGGATTGCGTAAAAGGAATAACTTTCTTACATAGGTAATTATCTAATTTTGTTGATATATTTACTCAAAATGTGCTTAATACCTATTTTGCTAGATTAAAGTTGTTTTGGCCACGTGATATTAAAAAAAATGTATATTTTTGGCATGATGCATGTAGCATATTGTTCAACTATAATATTGGGGAAATGAATATTATAAACAAATTTTCATTATAGAACTTATTCAAAAACTTCATGTTTACACATTATACATGTACAGAATTATGACTAATTTGTTATAAATGTCATCAAACAAGGTTTATATATATAATTTCAAGTTTAAAAAAATCTATTGGGCAAGCTTTTTCTTATTCATAACATTAATTTTTTTTGAGTTATTTTATATAACCATTCATTTAAATAGCATAAAAAAGAAAAATTATGTAATGGAGCTGATAGTTTCACTTCTTTAATATTTTGGACTATCTTTTCAGGAAATTAAATTATGATTTTAGTAACTGCTTTTCACACGTCATTCCATTTAATACTGTTTAATATTATGCAAGCATAGAACATTTTTCAAATATATAAAAATGTATTTACTAAAAAATATTTGTAACTTTACTTGTAAATGCACACAAATGGAATATTTTTTCCACTTGACTAGGAAAACCTGTTATACTGATATCCTGGTTGAAAATAATTATGTAAGTATTTCTGAAATATCAGAAATACTTACATAATTTAATTATTACCTTCAGTTCCTTTAAGCAAATATTCCAGACATCCATAATATTTGCAATTATGTATATTGAGGCTTCAACATATTTATCATGGCAGTGCATATTTCATCTAGTCCATATCTATGTTTCCAACCCCAGTCTTTTCGAGCATTTATATCTTCAAATTCTTGAGGCCAAGAATCGGCTGAAATTGAAAAAAAAAAAGAGTTTAAATTTCTTGTCCATAAAAATAAACAAATGAATGAATAAAACTATATTCTGAGGATTAAATGATTTAAAGTAAATGCTTTTTTCTTTTTTTTTACTCTCGTATTAGCATTGTCAACCACATTATGTATAGACATTCCTTGTTTCAATTTACATTTAAACCTTGATTTCAACAGACAAAATTACTCATTCTGTGCAGGCTATCGAAGCTGTTTTAATACATGATTATGTAATAACGGATTTATTTATTGCTTTCCTGAAAATTATATTTTTGTTGAACTGGAATGCAGATACTTTACTACTTCTTCCTTCATTTCTTCAAATTATATTTGGATGTTTGTACATTCCTGATAAATTGATATGCTAAACTGTGCCTTTATTATTCAGTATATAACAACTTGTATCCTTTGCTACCATAAACTAAGCTAGACATTAGAAGACTCTCTAATGAATAATCACTGAATCTTAAGGTACTACAAAATCAGGAGAAGGGTGTAAAGAACCCTTTATTAACTCAATGTTTATAGATGGCACCAGCTTGTGCTTACAAACCAACACTTTTGGCTATATTCAAAAGGTAATGAATAATTTAAGATTTAGTGAAGTTAAGTTTAGCCTAACGGCTTCACAGGTAACTAATGCTCAAGCTGGCTCTCTCAATGCCACAGAAATTTAATCACTAGAGAATCAAAAGTTAGCAACATGTCCTTCAGGCAGAACACACTCTGATTTCACCTTCAAAAACATTCCTTTAAATATTAATTTCTTTCTACCTCATTTAAACGATTTGCATTCTGGCAAGAAAGTGTGAGTTGAAAGTAAGAGGGATATGAAAGTCTCTTAAACATAAATTAACTGTTAAATGATCTGAATAAATTCCCACAAGTATTTAACTAAAAATTATTATTTCAATTCATATTTTATATAATCATAACTTAACCTTAGAGAATATAAATTAAAAACAGAAATTTTAGATGAGTTTTCGATGTCAATTTAGTATACAGAATTCTCATCAAGGGGACATATGATATAAAAATTTTCAGTTTTGGGCTAGAAATATAAAGTAGCCTGAGACGATTCCAAAAATATATAATTTATATATGTTTCGAAATTTTAAGACCAAAATCTTTCATTAAAAATGTAGACAAGCACTAGCAAGGCCCAACAGTTGAGAAGATGTCTGGTGTGGCAACAATACAGCCATATCAGTTGGTAAAAAGTATGTTCATAAACATTCTTTGTTAGAACCTGTTTTATTAGCTGATTGTTTAGAAGTCTCTCTGATTAAAAAAAACTACTGTTAAATTGCATTCATGGAAGAAGTCAAAATCCACCGCTCAAACGGTGCAGTGCTTAGCGTCGATGACTGCCATGCCGAAGGGCCCGGATTCGAATCTCGGAGAAGGCATTGATGTTTGTGAATGTATAGTGTCTGTGTGGCATGGAAGTACTCGAAATATGCGGCGAGCTGAAAGTCCTCTAGAGAGGTTGGGGGTAGGGGAAGAAGAGTGGGAGACCTTCGGACTCGTCCCCCATGTGGTGCTCTTCATCAAAATTGGGGTCGGAACTGAGTGAAATCGACTGTCATCTGTAAGGTGCTCAAGGCTGTTGCCAACTACTGGTGCTTTTTGTGCTGCTATACGTCACACAGTGAACAACAACAACTGAAAATCCGAATGAAAGTTTTAATAACTGCTCCTATCACGCATACCAACAATTGTTTGAGTGTCATCACATTAAAATTAGATTTATTAGATGCGGTAATATGTTTTAATGATGGTGAACAAAGCTGCAATAAGTAATGGAATTATTAGGAATACCATTTGAATTTTAATAGATTGCGATAGAATTTGTGAGGCCCATCTCGCTTACCAAAAGGTTACGATAGAATTTATGAGGCACATCTTGCTTACCGAAAGCTTTCTAAAATGGCTAGAAAGAAACACAAGTTAATGAAACAAAAACAACAAGATTCAGAAATGCCAGTTCAAGATGATTATGGTGCAGGAAAATATTAAAATGATTTTTTGATCAGTTATTAGTGTTTAAATGTTTTTTTCAGTTTTTCTTATATCATGTTTTTTTTTTTTTTTTTTTTTTTACTTTGGTACACTTTTCTTCAAAACTATTCATCCTAAAAGGTTTAAATTTTCCACAGTTGTTTATCTTAACTAGTTCTTTGAAATTATGCAAGATATAAAAATTTATAATCATTAGTTTTGGACATATTAAAAATTTAATACCATTTTTTTCTATGATTTTCAAAACATTTTACTAATTTATTTTTAATATTTTTTTCTTTTTAAGTAAAATGTAAAATACTGCTTATTATCTTAAATGATATGTTTTTAACCATCTTGCAACATTTGAAGGAGTCATGCAGTATTTTTTAAGAAAAATGTACCACACTAGCACACTGTCATAAAAGATTCGTCAAAAGTAAGAGAAATTAAACAACATTGGTTTCTAAAAACATTAAGCTTTAAATTTACATTTTGTGTGTTTTACATAATGTACAAGTTGTCTATTTTAAATGAATAAAAGAATTTATAGTATACGTTTATTCTGAGAATTATACCGTAATAACTTTTGTCCCGAAATAGTTGCATTTCGCCAGTCGATATGTCAAATGCCCTCTTAGGATTTCTTTCCATTTTTAAGGCAGAAATGCAAAACTTAACTTTAATGATGCCATTGTTATAACTGCCTCCAAGATTGAATCCCTGATCAACTGAGAGAGATATCCCGTCAGCTCATGAAGCGTGAAGATAAAAATAATCCACACAATATACAATAATACTCACAATGTTGTTTCCTAAGAATGTTTTTAATAATCGTTATGTTATAGCCATGTTTCTGAAATTGCTTTCTGTAATTCATTAGATATATTTTTTTCTTTTTAGTCCAAAGGGGCTTTGTGCCTGAAGGACTATTTTCGTTTTGCTATTTTGCATTGAACCACTATAAATGTCCGTTTCACTTTTCAAACTGTTGCCACCAAATGTTAAGAGTCATGCATTCTATCTGAAGAAATTAAATAATGAAAAATCTGCATAAATGTATGTATATTTCTCGCATTGTGATAAAACAACAGTACATAGAGCCATCGAATTTTGAATGACGTAATCCTACTGCGAATATGGGCATGTGGAAGCCCAAATTTGAAATTTGGAATTTGTTTTATTATCGATTTAATATTTTTTAAAACTTTAACAATTTTTGATTAACAAATTCAAGAATTTCAAAGCTAGCAATGGCAAACGTTCTACAGAAATAACATTTTTATCTCCAGCGCGCGAGACCTTGTATCGGAAATCCTAAAGATATGCTGAATTTGAAACTATATTGCTCTTGAACTGAATTTTATGGTTTAAGTGCGAAGAACGAGATATTTAATAAATAAAGGTAACAGACAAAATGTTAAAAAAAACGCCCCTTTGGACGTAATTTAAAATCTGAAACCTTTCAGATTTTCATTTTTTTCATATGTACTTTCTCCACGTAAATTCCGAAAGATATATGAGGTGATGTCCAGCCGCGGCCTGTGACTTTTTTTTTAGTCTACTCGGCTAAACCCAACATTTTGGGTGTGAACATCCGTTGTTGGATATACAAAATTATACTTGCGATTCACAGTAAAGTGACTATAACCAGCGTCCTCAAGTTGCTCCGTTTTATATTGCTTCCAGCAGTTTGAATAACTCGTTAATCCATCTTATGAATGTTCAATGATTTTCTCCATAAGTATACCAGCATCTCTATTCAAGATTTGAACAATTAAGTGCTCGCCATCTTCCCGACATATTCCTCCAAAAATCCCCTGTTGTGGGAGTATTCTGCCACAGTTGTTCTTACATCGGATGAACAAACTTTCGTCTATTTCGACTATTTTATTGGGACTATCTGTGTCTTTGAGTCACGTAGGGAAACCATTTATCGCATGCAATTGTTCCTGTCAACTGCAATTCTTTCACACATATTTAAGCTGTTTGTTACACCATTTAATGGATGTCAACTCCTCTGCTCAAGAATACATTAATCTAAGAGCAGTGACTAATGATATTCTTGAAACACTGAACCAATTTCAAACAAGGAGGCCCTTCTTTCTCATGATTTTTAACATTGCACCTGCAAATGGTTTCGTCGTTTACGTATAGTTTCATGTTGTGGCCATTTTCGCATACTTACTTGTCAGGTAAATGACGTCTTTCTTGAAAAAATTATATGGCACCCACCTCTTTATTTTGGTAAATTGATTGTTAACCGCATATTCACAAAAAGGCAAGAAATATTTTTAAAAAAAAAAAACTAATACAAATTCGAAACCCTTAACAAAAATTAAACACGATACTAATATAAGAATATGTGGCAAGAGCAAAAATGTGACAGGTAGCGAGGTATGAGAACACGGGGCTAGATATCTAGGTTGATTAGCGATTCATTCTTGGGGGGGGGGGCGAGACGCTATAGCAAGGAAGTATCGGAGTCTCATTATTTAAGAATTTATTTAGTTTTTTAAGGCACAAGTGCGAAACCAAAACTTGTAAATTTGATTTCAATAAATGCAATTTATCAAAGAAAAAAAAAATTTTTTTTTAATTGTCTTTTTCTTTAGATCAATAGATACTTTACTTTTTGTAGTCCATAGCAGGTATACCATTAAGCTGAACTCAAAATTTTTCTGATTTCCCTCTGAGCGGCCAGGGTTTTTCTCTAAGTAAGCACAAATTTCCCAAAATTACAATGAGATTTTTTTTTTATTTAATTGTAAAAACTCTCCTGGTATTTCATACCTGGATTTATTTTCTTTTGATATATTGCCTTAATTTCTTTCTCATATTTTAATACACATGTTCTTACAGATATCACATACGTTCACATACGTGTTTAATACATACGTTCTTACAGATATCACAAAAAATATTCTAGGCCGTATATACGGCCTTGCCGCTTAGAGGGTTTAAATTCAAGCATGCT